CGAGTAATTTTGCACTTTGAAGGCGTACATCATTTCTGACGGAATAAAAATGTTTCAGTTAAACCTTTAGCTATATTTTCACAGTTTAAAGTGTGTGCCGCTTTTGCTGGTATAGTAGGGCGATCACCGCAAACCACGACGACGACGACCGCCGCTACTGCTGGCTAATCTGATAGCTAGCCGGCCGCAGCCTGGCGCAGCCTCCTCTCCTATTAGCCAATAATGTCGAATCATTTTCTAGCGCGCACAATGCCGTGCCACGCGCCCCGTCAGGAATATTGTTTCGCGGGGCGTAATCTGCCCGCGCGGGGAGGAACGTGCCGGAGGAGAAACAGAGAGAGAAAGGGGGGGGGGGGGCGTCATTTGGTTCAGATTTAGCATTCTGAAATAAATCCCGCCGCCGCCGCTGTTTTTTTTCTCCGCCGGGGACGAAAGCGGAAAACACGCACGCCGACTAGAGATTTGTACGAAAATGAATGCAGTTTGTTGTATATGCTCGACTTGTAAGCGGCCGAGCGGCGCTCGCCGCCCACTTGAAGGAGCGCGGGCGGGGCCACGCTAATTGCGCCAATGTCTGACCTCGGCAGAAGCAGGAATTAAAACAATTGAGGGAACACGCGTGCGCCAAGCGTGCGGCCCGGTCACTTCTCGAAAACTTCTTTTTCACTTGGTTTGACATTTTTCTGGCTATCGCTCCGTGTTATATTTTCGTGATTCGAGATTTTTTTATTGACCTTTTCTTTTAAGCTTATATGCATATTTTGTTTTAACCTTTTTACTTTAAAGAGGAATTCCTCTAAAAGACCTGATATCGCTTGAGTGTATCGCATCGCCTGGGGCGAAACCGAGGGGGCAATAACTCCCTATTGATGTGTACACATGATTCCCGAAATACTTGATTCGCAGTGATTCCCGCCCGCTTATATTTATTCCTCAGGCTTTCTATTAGTGGAAAATGCTTATTTCGACTAATTTGTACCAGTTCCACTAGTTTCCAGCTTAGTTAGGGCAATTTCTGTAGATTTCTATCAATTTTTATCCTGATGATTCCCCGTCAGGTGTACACATGATTCCCGGAGTTCTTGCCCCCTCGGGCGAAACAAATATGGCGAAGAAGGTGGGTGTGAAATGATGACGGAGCATTGGGACAAATCTCACAAATGGAACGAAAACCTGTGGTGCCCACGCGATGAAAAGTGTATTGATGCCACGTTTTTCTCTTTCGACAGCACCGCCGCCCCGTGACTTACCTCACAGTGATGTTTTCGCCGCAGGCGCCTGCGTCCAACATGGTCGCCTCCGTCGTCGTGGGCGAAGCCAGCGCCAAGGTTAGTAGACCAAACAGGCTGAGCCTTCGAGCCATGATGCTAGCAAAATCGTGGAGATCTCCTCGAAGGTTACGTATACGTATATGGGTGTGATGTGCTGCGCGTACCAAACATGTTAGTTCATTGAAATTTCGCGAACTTGTTGAAACAGGATTGAGTCGTTATTTCCATATCGTCTCCACCCTCATCGCACCAACACCCACTCTTCTAACACTGTTAACATCTGTCCACTCTTTTATCACTGTTAAAATTTGTCTCATTAACACGCAACTCCGGTGTTGTTCGCTCTCATAGCCACCTGTTGTTTGTCAACAAAACACCTTTCAATCCATCAAGTCATTTTCACGGAAAAGGTGAATTAGAAAATAGCTACTAGTTTGCTTTTGCACATCATGCTGCGCAAGATTCCATCTAATGACATGAACCTAATGAGTCATATACTATTGATATCGTTGGGCAAATTACTGTTAAAATTTCACTACACTTGAAAGAACTCCCCTGTTTGAATACAGAAAACAATCATGATAATATTGTATCACCAAAAAACTTTGTGCCAGTGACACACTGACTCATCAACAAAAACACTCTGTGGTCGCGCCAGTCTTTTCGTGACACAGCTCGTACTTACCGTTGCCGCTCCGCCGTGGGCAGTGGGGACTCTTTGACCTGCCCCACGAGAGGGCCAGCGAGCGACTCGTGGGTGCCGACTGTGCCGCGGGCGGCCGTCCGGCGCAGCACGGGACGAGGGGGGGAGAGTCAGTCGAACAGTCGTGTGGGAGGAAGACTGTCAATCAATTTTCCGTTTCATTTCCCTTGTCGTCGTCCCCC